GTATGTATGTATGTCTGGGGAAACATACATACCCAGAAAATGATAGGTATGTATGTATGTCTGGGAAACATACATACCTAGAAACTAGAGGTATGTATGTATGTCAAAGGTATGTATGTATGTCTGGGGAAACATACATACCTAGAAACTATAGGTATGTATGTATGTCAAAGGTATGTATGTGTGTCTGGGGAAACATACATACCTAGAAACTATAGGTATGTATGTATGTCTGGGGAAACATACATACCTAGAAACTTTTAGGTATGTATGTATGTCGGGGGAAACATACATACCTAGAAACTATAGGTATGTATGTATGATAAAGGTATGTATGTGTGTCTTGGGAAACATACATACCTTGAAAATTATAGGTATGTATGCCTGGGGAAACATACATACCGAGAAAATAATAGGTATGTATGTATGTCTGGGGAAACATACATACCTAGAAACTAGAGGTATGTATGTATGTCAAAGGTATGTATGTATGTCTGGGGAAACATACATACCTAGAAAATGATAGGTATGTATGTATGTATGGGGAAACATACATACCATACATAACTAAAAACATAAAGGTATGTATGTATGTCTGGGGAAACATACATACCTAGAAAATTATAGGTATGTATGTATGTCATGTTTGTATGTGTGGGGAAACATAGATCGCTAGAAAATGACAGGTATGTATGTCTGTTATTGGTATGTATGTATGTCTGGGGAAACATACATAGCTAGAAAATTAGAGGTATGTTTGTATGTTAAAGGTATGTATGTATGTCTTGGGAAACAGACATACCTAGAAACTAGAGGTATGTATGTATGTTTGTTAAGGGTATGTATGCATGTCTGGGGTAACATACATACCTTGTTTTCGGAGGTTGCTAGGTATCTAGCAGGCATCCCCTGCCTCCCCCCCCATCTAGGTATGTATGTATGTATGTATCTTCCAAAATTATAGGTATGTATGTCTGGGGAAGCATACATACCTAGAAACTACAGGTATGTATGTATGTTAAAGGTATGTATGTATGTCTGGGGAAACATACATACCTAGAAAATAAAAGGTATGTATGTATGTCTGGGGAAACATACATACCTAGAAAGTATAGGTATGTATGTATGTTAAAGGTATGTATGTGCGTCTGGGGAAACATAAAGTTTCTAGAAATGTATGTCTGGGGAAACATACATACCTAGAATTTTTTAGGTATGTATGTATGTCTGGGGAAACATACATACCTAGAAACTATAGGTATGTATGTATGATAAAGGTATGTATGTGTGTCTGGGGAAACATACATACCTAGAAAATTAAAGGTATGTATGTATGTCTGGGGAAACATACATACCTAGAAACTATAGGTATGTATGTATGTCAAGGGTATGTATGTGTGTCTGGGGAAACATACATACCTAGAAACTATAGGTATGTATGTACGTCTGGGGAAACATACATACCTAGAAATTTATAGGTATGTATGTATGTATGTCGGGGGAAACATACATACCTAGAAACTATAGGTATGTATGTATGATAAAGGTATGTATGTGTGTCTGGGGAAACATACATACCTAGAAAATTATAGGTATGTATGTCTGGGGAAACATACATACCGAGAAAATTATAGGTATGTATGTATGTCTGGGGAAACATACATACCTAGTAACTAGAGGTATGTATGTATGTCAAAGGTAAAGAAAATTATAGGTATGTATGTATGTATGTCTGGGGAAACATACATACCCAGAAAATTATAGGTATGTATGTATGTCTGGGAAACATACATACCTAGAAACTAGAGGTATGTATGTATGTCAAAGGTATGTATGTATGTCTGGGGAAACATACATACCTAGAAACTATAGGTATGTATGTATGTCAAAGGTATGTATGTGTGTCTGGGGAAACATACATACCTAGAAACTATAGGTATGTATGTATGATAAAGGTATGTATGTGTGTCTGGGGAAACATACATACCTAGAAAATTATAGGTATGTATGCCTGGGGAAACATACATACCGAGAAAATTATAGGTATGTATGTATGTCTGGGGAAACATACATACCTAGAAAATGATAGGTATGTATGTATGTATGTATGGGGAAACATACATACCATACATACCTTAAAAAATAAAGGTATGTATGTATGTCTGGGGAAACATACATACCTAGAAAATTATAGGTATGTATGTATGTCTGGGGAAACATACATACCTAGAAACTATAGGTATGTATGTATGTTAAAGGTATGTATGTGTGTCTGGGGAAACATACATACCTAGAAAATTATAGGTATGTATGTATGTCTGGGGAAACATACATACCCAGAAAATTATAGGTATGTATGTATGTTAAAGGTATTTATGTATGTCTGATTAAACATACATACCCACAAAATTATAGGTATGTATGTATGTCTGGGTTCGTAGTGATCTTTTCGTACCTTGCCCGTGCCATGTGAGGCAGCTGCCGACTTTCAGGCCTTGCCCGCACCCGGGTCAGCTAGTCCCTACCAGGCTCTGCCTGCAGCTGGCCGGCATGTCTGCAGAATTGGTTTAGATCTGTTTATCATTGTTATTTCAGTGCGGGAAGAAAATGGAAGAAGCAACGACGTGATTGAGGTGATTGATATCCTCAACATCTCTGAGTTGAACAGTGTCCAAACACTCCATGTATGCCGCATTTGCCTTCCATTGCCTTCCCAGAATTGGTTCAAGGGAAATTTTAAAGCAAAATTGTACTACAAGGGGTTCCTTCAAATGTTCCCTGAAACCAATTCATTGATGCCTACCTTGGGCTGGTTCCAGGGGTCAATGTGAGGCATATATCCAGTCCCATGGAGTGTCTGCATTTGTGGTGCCTGTAAAGCATGTGGATCCCCAGGGAAAGTGAAAGTCTGTTGGGTATCTTGGACAATTCTGAGACTCTTCCAGCAAGCACGAGTCGAACACGCGAACCCACACGCCGCGCTGCGATGGTCTCCCGATCCATCGGAGCTGTGCGATTCCACAGCTCCAATGGATCGGACTTCTCCCTGAGCTGGATGCTCAGTAGGCGAGGTGGATGTGTTCAGGTCTCTTGCAAACGGTCCAAACTCGAACACACAAAACAAACCCTCACCGTCTGTACACCTTGGTGTATCTCTGATTCCCTGGAATTAACTGTGGATGATGATGGTTAGAAAAGGCCTTTCTTTTAAAATAGTGACAAGTGTTTCCCGACTGTTACAGGTAAGTTCGGACGCCCCCAATCTATGTACACCCATGTGCACCCTCACATCATATCATCATGAATTCCAAATATTCCACTTGAAAGTTGAAAGTCATCTAAGATGTTCGCGTGCCTTTGCATCTGGCTCACACACGAAGAAGGGGGGGCGTTTAGGGTGGCGACTGGATAAACCCATGAGGGCGGGTCCCAAAACCGACCCTGCCTTCTAAGGCATCTACCATGTCAAAAACAAAGTTTGAGATCCTTCCTCGACCTTTTTTTGATGTGCCACACTGGCCACTGCCACAGGAGGCACGCTGGGGTTCCCAAACATTGAAACTGCACTCTGACCCACTAACACGAAAGTGGAAAATAGGCCCCGGGAAATCCAGTTTGCTCTATGAACAGGGGGTTTTCCACGTCCATGTTAGTGATTGGAAGTGTACTCCGGGTGTGAGAAACCTTCCAAACTCTTCGTGACCATCTGCAGGATCCACCCATCATCGCTCAAACCGTCTCCGTCTCAAACCCTGTGAAACGACTCATGTTTTGTCTTCAGGTTCATAGGCCCCATGCTCGCCCGGAATCCAGTTCTGAACGCCCTGGATCCAGCTATGGAAGTAGTTGAAATCTCACAGCTGGCTGTGAGCATGGCAGGAGCTCCGGACCTGCGTGCCCGTGCCCTCCAGCTGTGGGACTCTCAGGAGGCCAGCGTGGAGACGCCATGCATGGCAGTGCCATTCAGCAGTGGAGCCAAATGATCGATCAGGGTCCTGGCGACGACGTTCCTTCGGCCTCCACGACCTTGCTTCGGGCACGAGTGAAGGGTCCTTAGTGGCATGTCCTTCGACACAAAACAAAGCAAGATCCAAGGTCCAACCAGCAAAGGTTGAAGAACCCTAGTTCGACTATGACTATCGGGTCCTATAAGGTCACTTAACCTCTGTACGAAGAGTGGTCCAAACTCCTTTGGGAATCCAGGTTGCTTGGGGCGAATTGGTCGCGACCCCAATCATGCTGCGCCGCAGCACGGAGATGCAATGGTTTCTTGGGGTGCCATGTGCTGAGCTTGCAAGGAGAAGGGGCTCATTTCCCCATAGGTGACCAGAAACGCAATAGAAACGCGTTGCCAGGTCTGTTTTCTCAACTCTGACCTTGGGAAGTTGGCTCCAACATGGCAACACACCGAAACACAGCCGGGCAATCCATCCTGTAAACGCCGTGATCTTGAGTTTCATTGTGAAGCTTTGACATTTCCTCGCGAACTTCATGGAACCTTTCCTCAGTGTCACGAGGAGGGGTCGGACGAGTGTGTGAGAAGGTCCTGCACTTGCGAAAACTGGGTGAGCTATATTATGGAAAAATTGCTCAAAGAGGGCATGATCGCGGATCTTCAGACCAAGTTCCTCAATTCCACCAAGAGGGCACGAAGACAGAGAGAGAGAGAGGTACTTTCTGGGCACCGAACTTGGAGGATCCAGGTATGTAGGTATGTGAGGGGGACGGCTTTTCTGCGCAATGTTTCCCAAAAGATCTAGGTTTGATTAGGTTTCACTGGCTGACACAAAGGACAGGTCTAGGTTGGTCGACGTAGACTTTGCAATGCCATGGACGAAGAGTCTTTGCAGGATAGAGATCCAGCCGAATGGAAGCAATAATGGCTATATATTATATATATATACATGTTAACCTTCTTCCACCTGTTACACCCTAGCTGGAAGATTAACATGGGACCTGATGAAATGGACTTGCGCGGAAAACGTGTTGCTTTTTCGAAAACCAACCTAGTCATGTTCAAGTTCCATGTGGATCTCTAGCAGGGCGTGTATTTTAGATGATTTTAGTGCGGACACTCTTCCAAAAAGGTCAAGGGTTATCCACTGACTGGGCACTCGGCCATACTGGTCTTCAATCACATGACACAACGGATTTGTCAGTTGCACTTTCAACTTGTAGGTGCCATGCTCAAAGTTGTCTTGGCCTGAAGTCTTGGGCTGCAGCTTTATATCCTACAATATGAAAACTATATAACATGCTCAACTCTGAACTCATTGAAAACCCATCTTCATCCAAGGTTTCCATGTGCCACTGCATGCCACTGAACAGCCTCTAATTGGGTACCACCATGCTAGCAAATGGGGGCGGCGGTAGCGCACGCGGCGCACGCGTTTCCATGTGTGGACTCGGTGGATGTGGATGACGAATGATGACGAGTCTCCCATCTCATCAACCATGGGCAAAAACTAACATTTCAAACCATGAGGACTTAGGTGACATGGTGGCGCATGTGAGCTGAAAGCTGGATTCCAAGCGCTTGTTCAGCTCTGTGAGGTTCCTTTCTCCTGACTTGAAGGCATGACAGCATCAGCAAGTTGTAAACAGCCAGCTTTCGAGGCTCTCCAAGCAAGAACCCAGCCAGCTCTCCACCTCGCTTTCCCCCTGCTAGCTGACCCCTTTGACCCCTTTCTCCACCACCCAGGCCGCCAGCTTTCCCCCCTAGCTTTCGATGCACAGCTTCCCGATGCGAACCTCGACCGATCTCCACGGGGCGCAGGCGACCCACCACTCGACGTTACAGCCCGAGGGGCGACCCACCACTCGACCGGCGCGCTGAAGGGCCCATGCGAATGATGCAGCAAGGCATCACGAGCCGCGTCCTTAACGGCCTGAAGGATGGCACGGTCCCCGAGCATCTGTTGAAGATTGGGGGCCAAGGGGCGGGGGTGAAGGTGCGAAGTGGCGCGCGTTTGGAGCTCGCGGCGGATTCGAGGTACAAATGAACACATCGACCTACACTCTGACAAACAATGAGGAATATATGGAAGTGGAGAAGTGGATGTCCTTCTTCGAACAGGGTGGTTTTCCAACTCCACTTCCATCTGATATTGTGATGTATTCTTCTAGACTCTGGGTGCCATTCATGGCACCCGAAACAAGTCTGCTGTCACCCCGTAGTTTCTTCGGAATCGTCTGGCCCCCGTGGCCCGTCCTTTAAGCGCCCCTTACTGTAAGCCCCTCCTTAGCTACAGGTGAAGTGACCTGAACTAGGACCCGTCACCAGGAGTACCCAACTAGGATAGTCTATAGGGTTCTGACCCACCTCTGCTGGTCATACATTCCCGTTTGGATCCAGGTCTTCGCCGCAAACCGTCCCTCGTCGCAGCGAAGGGGGGGTCCGGATCCCTTGAGGGGTTTGGAGGTGCAGGAGGAGTGTAACAGGTGGAGAAGCATGGTGAACTTTAATATAAATCATGGCATGCGCATGGAGTCCATAGGAATTCCGAGGTATCCTTTGGGTTCTGAGAGGAAGTCTGATAGTTCAGTGGGTTGAACCAACATCTCTAGGCTCCTTGGGGGTGCCCATTTCTCCTTGGGCGCGAACCAAGGCCCCGGGCCATCCAATGGCAAATGGCGGCTGCAGCCACAAAGAGGTGCCAAATCACATGGTGGATCGGCCTCATGCGATAGTGATTGGGGCCTGTGCCACATTGTGCCACTGTGCAGTGGCGGTCAGAGTTTTGAGGACATGTTCCTGGACCATCCTGCCGGGGTGTGGAGATCCACAAGTAGTGTAGGGATGTGTCGAGTAGTCCAATGGCAATTGGCGGATGGTCCTCATCGATTGGAACATGCTGCTTAGGTTAGGGACACACCAGAAAGTCGACCAAATCTGATCCTGCCTTCTGCATGATGCACCAACTTGATTATATGCATGTTATATATTCTCACTTATCACTAGTCACTAGATCCCTGAACTGGTTTGTGGCAGAAGTTCTCTGTTTCAGCGTCTCCACCTACACTACTTTACTGTTTACTAGTACAGTATATAGAGGCGACTTACTTGCCCCGGTTTCCACCTCCCTTGCGACAACGCCCTTGGCGGCAAAATGAGGCTTTCAGCGCGCACGTGGCAAAAAAACCACCCCACCAGCCTGTAGTCGGCGAGCATGAAGAACGGCACGCCCCCAGTGTACAAGAGCCCGCCCGCCACGAGCCATGACATACAAGCTGGTGGCATCACGGAGCGAAAGGTATCCTGGACAACGCGGCGCCCTACACGGAGTGCTTCTTTTTCATGTCCAACCGGTAAAATAGTAAACAACAGTGAACACCCCTGCGCTAGCATTTCCCGCATGCCAACCTCTCGGATTATCTGAGGTCAAAGGTGTCTTCTTTTTTCTCCCAAAGGATCCCAGTTACCACTATACTCAGGCATTGGGGGCGGTTTAGGGGGTCCATGTAGGCACACATGGCAGTCCCAAGCCCTACGTGTCTGGGATATAAGCCCTAAGGCTCCTGGCCCATCTCCTCATGTTCGGTGGTTAGACCCCTCTGGCACCCACCCCGACCTTCTGAGAGGTCGTTGGAGCCCTACGGAAGGAACCAGGACTTCTCTTCTATGTCTGTGCTCTGCGGATCCTCTGGATCCACCTCTTGCTTTGACCTCTCTTTCTCCGCCTTCTACCTGCAAACAGAAACCATCGACCGGAAAGGCTTCGCTGGTCGAACACATCGATTTGACACCACCGTCCCAGCCATGGCGGTGCGATTCCTCCGTTTCTTCTCCCCAAGGAAGGACCCTCCAAGGACTCCTCGGTGAGGTCGAGCCCTAACGAGTCAATTAGTCAAGCGTCCCAAACCAAGACCACTGCCCAGCCCATCATCAGATACAAAATCAGCTCTCCAGTCAGGTACGGCACCTGGGCAGGGCTGAGACTTCTGGATGACTAAGGGGATCTAAGGGGCCAAGGGGGGAATTCCCGTCTCCAATTCCCGGCTGATGGGGAAGATGGATGAATACCAGGGCCCCCGGGCCATGGGGTGGTGAATGGATACCCCGAATCTCCACTAAGGAGCTGTATTTAGACAACCCAAAGCGGGGGGCCCTGGTATGGACTTCGATTTTTGCGGAACCGGGAAAATTTTTAGATTTGCTTAGGAACTTAGATTTGCTTAAAGCAAATATCACAAATCCTAAGCAAAAGCCATGTGGATATCCCCGACTCTGAAGTCGCTCCCTCCTGAACACACTAGATAAGAGCCTGGCCTTGCGAGACTGGAGGGTGTCGTCATGTCAGCGGTTGTCCACTCCTCACTGACTGAGGGATGTGCTCGTTGTTGCGCAAATCCCTGAACCCCAACAACGCCAAAAGAAGTGGACGATGTTCGTTGTAGATTTAAGGCCCATGAGCAGCCCTTGAAATGACCTCGAAGGGTGTATGCGCTACACTGCTATGCTGTGTACGGCACGCCTCGGACTCGCAGTTGGTCAGAGATAAATGCCAGGAATTTAGTTGATCTAGTTGGGGTCGTCTAGCACTGATTGCACCTTAGAGCTTCCTTCAAAGGTTGACGAATTGGTGCTCTGTACAAAACTTGGATTTGCTTAAGGAACCTAGAAAAACTAAAACATATATCACCAGAAGGGGGTTTTAACCATAGGGGAATTTTCACACTTCATCCTAATGTGGACTCTTGATTAAATCCCCCATATGAAGAGGATTTTCCACGGAAAATGGGCTTGGATCTGCAGATTTCATATGCGGAGCTTGCAGTGCTTTTTCTGACTTTAGGTTTCCCCGCCTTCAAGAGTTTTCAGATGAGCATTTTATGCTCAAGCAGCTGATACAGTGGTTGCAAGGCGCCCTGAGTTTGTGCACGCGTGTTTTGGATTTTGACCTTTATCCCACCATGTTCCGCGTGTACACAACACCTTCGGCAAGACGATGCCATCCGGACTATTACGAGGAGGCCTTCCTTTCAGGTCCGCCACTTGCGGGAACTGTGTCGGATCTCTCGGCGACGGGCCAAGCCCTTGCTGCCGATTTCCCGGTTTCCTTCGTTTGCCCATGTCCTTGATTTAATTTGTGTGGCCCGGGGAGGGCCTTCATCTTGACCATGTAGTGGAAGCTACTGGTCGTGTCACACTCGATCGTGTGCGCGTGAGGCAGAAGAGGATTTTCCACTTCAAATGGTGGGGTTATTAATCAAGAGTCTAAGCAAAACAAGGAAAATCCCCGGCTCCAATCGGCTCCACTCCTTCGGGGGCCCCAAAACGGCTCCAAATGCTGCGAGCACTCGACTCCTTCGACCGAACTCGACTCGCCGCTCGACTCGCCGCTCGACTCGCCGCCAAGGTTCTGAAGTGCCCCAGTCGAAGTATTGCGAGCAAATGTGCACGACAATTCCTGGGCGGTTTTGCGTCACTCACCGGGCCGAAGCGGTCACGGTCCGGCCCAGCCACTGACTGGTTTCTCGGTTCCCGATGGGTCGGACGAGCCGAACTGATCCGTTCGGTCCATTCTTGTTGTCCGAAAAACAAAAAACTATAGGGCTCCAACTACATCCTCAGGTGGTCGGGGTGGGTGCCAGAGGGATCTAACCACTGAACATGAGGATATATGGCTGCCCCTAGGCCCAAACAAAAGTATGTTAAACACTGCTATCCGAACTTTGAAGCCGCCTACGGTCTCCAACGTTCTCCCGCCATGAAAACCCCTGGGTCCATTTCTGGAATTCTCTTTGGGGGATGCGAATCCCAAGCGTTTTGGAGCCATAGATGAGTCCATAGTACTGCTCAAAAAGCCAAACAAGGAGAGATTATATAATGGTTGTTCCAATACGGCAGTTGAGATCCTTTAATTACATGGAAACTGGCGAAACTCCTGCTGAAACATCCATATAACCTCTGAGGTTGTGGGGGGTTCCCCAGCTGGTCATCACCCAGCTGGTCATCACCACTTGTTCCTACTTGTCAAAGCTTCCCCCAGAAAAACCTCCTCGCTCCATGAAAGAGAATGCCCTCCAAGTGGCCGACCCAGTCCCTCCAAGTGGCCGACCCAGCAAAGAACCCACTCCACCTTCAGCAGCTCCACCAGCCCAACGTGGTCCTCGAACCGAAGAAACGCACGCACTAAGCGCACCCAGCCCTGCTGCGTCTCAAGCTGTCAAGCTAGGTCGCTCTTGAAGGTCACGAGCAGCTTCAGTCTAGGAAACATCCCCTTGGATTTTTTTGGAAGAAGCGAAGTCGACGTGTTCCACTTGCGTTGTTGGAGGGTCATCAACAACAAACATGGAGTACATTGGAGTACAAGAAACTCAGGGAAATGATCAGTGCTCAGCTCATGTTCCACGAGGGAGGCTGTTGCTCAGCAACCACCTTTGTGAAAGAAGATGGTTTTCCGGTGGAGGACGTAAACCCAAAGTGATGCAGCAACCCCATGCAACTATTGCAACTGCTTTTCTTAAGCACCAGTCATACACCAGGACCTGACTCTACAGGTCACCAATTGAGACGGTGCTGGTAGGTTCTAGGTAGAACCAACAAGTCCGTGCGTGCTCATTGACCCTCACAGCAGGGGTTTGTGAGTTGCATGATGCTGCATGTTTTGCCCACTAAACCTGTGCTCAGTTGACCACCTTCTCTTATGGAAATCACATCAACATCGACGAGCAGCACCCAAGGGTCAAGAAGGTCACCAACAAGAAGAGATCTAATGAGTGAGGCACTCCTAGCAAAGCATCCACCCCAAAATCACAATCCCTAGGGCTCCAGGAGGTTACCTCCTCAGGTTCGGTATGACTGGACCCTCCTGGCACCCACCCCAGTCCCACCTTCGAAACGAAGGTACGACTGGAGCCCTAGGGTTAAGCCCTAGGGTTCAGGGTACTTGGAGCCCTTGGAGGTGTAGGGAGTTGCTGTTTAGAGTTTAGACCAGCCGAGGCCTTTCTCAGACCTCTTGGCGCATGCAAAGAGGTCAAGCAACCGAGGTCAAGTCGGGAGTCACGCTACATCCACTGAGCAATGCGCAATAGACCCCACCTCCCCATGGAAGGTGCTGGTGTCCTGGTGTATCTTTCCGGTTTCACTGCATCAAAACGGGTCAAGTCGCAGAGTAGAAGAGCAAGAAGGGCGTATAAGTGCCGGCGATGAGGAAATAAATGGCCTCATCGCCCCATCGCACATTCTGACTTAGCCGACATACCCCTGGAAATACCATACCCCCTCCCACATGGACATGGACGGTCTCCTGTTGGAGGAACATGGTCTTTCCACAGGTAATGCAGCTAATGTTCCACTTTCCAGGGACCCTGAAAATGCAGCCAATGCAGCTAATGTTTCCAGAGCTAATGTTGTGCTTCGGGGACCCTGAAAGGTCAACCTTTTTCCAGCAGGGAACCCCCCACCCAAAGGTGACAGCTGATCCATCGATGAGGTGGGGGGGGTGGATTCAAGCCATCTTGAAATGCCAGGTCGATGGACGTCGCGTACGACGTCCGGGTGCATGGGTGGGTACGGTGCTGGTTCTCTTGTTGGTACTTGTATGGAGTGGGTTCGGGAGGCGAGATGTTCTGGTGCCTTGCCCCAGCAGCTCAACTTCAGAACCTGGAACTACGCCAGATGGGGTGTGTAAAGACCCCGTGTCTTTTGCAATACCTCGAAGCCATGTTATGTTGTTTTTACTCCTGTCGCTTTCTCATCAAAAGATATCATTTGGCCTGAACCTTCCATTGATACAGAAATTTCTGACAAACTGCTACTTTGATACGGAATTCTTGCTTTTGAGCGTTTTTCATATAAATGAGCGCTTTTTGAAGATATACCTTCAAATGAGCGCTTTTTGGGATTTTCATCTTTTTGAACATTTGGAACCCTTTGAATGCATGTATGTGCATTGTGCGCTCGTCCACGGCGCTTCTTCAAAGGCCACCAATAGGTGGCTCCAGCTTTGGACCTCAGGTGGGCGCAGGCTCTCACAAACATGGGGCTGCTACAAAGAACCGCTGCATCATGCTGCATCAATTTCAGATTTTCACAAGAAGATCGGGGACATGATACGAGTTTGGCCCAACGAGAAAGGATAAGCGCACCCGGCACCTATCAAAACCTTTCTAGGGGTCTCGGTGTCCAAGCTTGGCAAACCCATGGTGGCCTGACTCTCCAGGGCAGAGGTGCCACTGCATGTTTAGTTGTTTTTGGTGAAGCTTTGCAGAGTGGAGCTAGTCGCCCAAGTGCTCTGAAATTTGGTGCCACACTGCAGGCCTGCTCTGGTTCAAGTTAGCATGCGTGAACGCATGTATGCTCAACACGCTTCAACATATGCACACATCACACGCATCATGCATTGCATGTGTTTGCACGTGCGCATGCAACTTCCGGTCTACTTCCTGTAGCACACAGCCATGCCTCTGGATGTTGGCCCCGTGCTGGTTGAGTGGATGAAATTTGATGATCTCAAGACTGCGGCTACGCATGGCAGGTTGGTGGATGTGAAGCTAGATCTTACTCCACAAACCGCAGAGTTGTACAAGCTTGTGCTTGCACCAATAATTATGCACTTGGGCCCCTCGCATGTATGGTTCTGTAATGGTCCCGCAATGTCCCGCACCATTGTTTTGATGTCTAAAGGTAGATCAATTATCTTGTGCTGGACGCAGCCAAGGTTTGAAGCCTAGCGTTGATGTTATGGTGGATCTTGTTGATCGGTTCCTGGCAACCAACAAGCCTTTTGGAAAGGTGCATGCGACAAGCTACTTGCTTGCTAAGGCTTGTGCTGTGCATCTTATGGGTAGGCGTTGTGGAGGTTTGTTGGGCTACCGGGCTACCAGTACTAAGGCTCAGTGATCAAGAAGCAGGCATGGTTCCTACGAATGCTGATATGCGCTTGGTCTCGTTGGGCCAAACGTGGATCTTGTCCACGATCTGCTGGTCAAAAAACGCTTTTTGATGCAGCTGGGATTCCATGGCCTGAGAGAGCCTTGGCATGATGCACCTCTTATATGTCTCAAAAATATATCCCAATAGATGCAAAGTACAAAACTTTTGTGAAGGGGTTTCATGTCCTTGATACCTCCGCCAAGGATCTGAGCGTGGGTCAAATTCCACACTCACGGACGATGAAGATGCAGAAGAATTGTTAGGGGATGAAGGCGAAACAGGAGAAGAAGAACCACTAGAAGAAGATGAGCCTCTTGAGATTGAGGACCTCGAGATGTCTAGCTTTATATAAGTCGCTGTTTCTACTACATGTCATGCCTTTTGCCCCTGACATTGTATAGGATCGTGACCGTGACTCTGCACCTGTCCCATCTGAAATGGTGGCTCCTACAAGCCCGAACCCAAGACCTCTCTGCATAGGTTCACAATCTATAGATTGAAACCCACCCCCGCTCGAGCTTGCACGAGGTCCCGGACCTGCGCTGGAAATTGGTGGGCCTGCCAATGGAGGCAGGCTGATCAAAGCTTGGCTTTACTTATGCATGGTAGAAAACAGCTGTAAGTTTGTTGGGCCTCCACACACTACACTGACAGGACCATCTTTGGCGGCCGAGAGTGGTGACACTGTTTTGCAAGAGGAGTTGAAGGCATTGCAAACCATGGAAGAAGAGTTGGCTCAGCTTACCACTCTTTTGGAACGTCAAAAATCCCTCACCACTTTGGATGAAGCTTCAGCACATATGATCGGAACTGTCAGTAACGTATATGCAATTATGCAATATGTTTTGTTTTGGGTATCTTTGATGTTTAACTCACTTACCTGGATCCTTTCTAAGGTATAGATCATGTGGAGACTTTGCCACTGGGTACTCAGCTGATGGAAGATTTCGCAGCTGAAGAGTCAAGTCGACCTTTTGACCCAGCCCTGCCACCTGAGCCTAGGCAACCGTTCGAGATTAGGGCTGAAATGATTCGAACAAACCGTGCCAAACTGCCAAAAGAAAAAGAGGTTCCAAATGGAACCCCAACTGATGGAGGTTCCAGCCCAATTGAGGTAGACACTGATGAGGAAGCCAAAAGACTTGAAGAAATGAATCCAATGGATACTTTGGTACCGGGGTGCCCAACTCTTGAACAGCTGTTGCCTGAATACCGTGTCTGCAAAGAACATTGGTCAAACAAACATGCAGTTGAGGGCACTGTTGAGGGCCAGCCCTTGTCCACCTCCGACTCCGCCCTGCTTGCCTCAAATGAAAAGGCTTCTGAGGTGGATGCGGAGGTCAAGGATCCTGAACCGAGCGCAGCTTCCGAGCCTATTGACTCCAAGTCTATTGGTCAGAGTGGTGAGAAGGCGGGTTTTTGTTTTGCATGGTTATGTATGCATGCAGGGACGCTAATACCTGCGTATGACTCACGAATGTGATATGCGTAGGTATCCACATCTACATCCACGTCTATGGAGGCCTTTATCCGTGGCATTACGCCCATCTCCCCGAAGGAACAAACAGAGCTCACAAAAAAGGAAGGCAAAGGCAAGGGAAAGGGTAAGAAACGACGTAGCAAGAAACAACAGGAAGAAACCCGTGAGGATGAGGATGAAGGTGAAGGGGATGATCAACATGAGGGGGATGAGCAAGATGAGGGGGATGAGCAAGATGGGGAGCAAGATGGGGATGATCAAGGAATGGACGAGGAAGGTCCTGAGAAGGTGTCCGATCCAACCAAAGCATGCCGCAAGTCCAAGGCGAAGGCAAACAAGAGCAAGGAGCCAACAGCCAAACCCAAATCCAAAAAGCAACAGGCAACTGAGGAACCTAAGCATGAGGAGCAGCCAGCCAAAGGACCAAAGCAGCCCAAGGCAGCCAAAGCGAAAGCCAAGAAGCAGGAGTCGACTGAGGAGGAACCTGAGCATACCAAGCAGCCAAGGGCTCGCGCTTCCAGGAAGGCAAAAAACAATGATGGGGAGGAGCCAGCC